TTCTATGTTATACAAGTACATGTGTACTAGAACGAAAAATGTGTATGTAATTCAAAAAAACGCGGGCAACCCACGCATGTTTACTGTTTAGTAATTGTCATTGCAACGCGTTTCAACAAATCTCTCCAAACTAATGTCCACATCTGCATATACATACATATATTTAATTGTACACACACACACACATGCGTACATATGTATATAGTTTAAGCGTAAAAATTATAAGCGCTTTTATATTTACTATACTAATACAAATATACTTTCATACACATCTGCAATATGCCATTTTTTATGAATAGACTCTAATACTTGCGGTCAAACTGTGTTTTGTATGTGTATGTGAAATGTATGCACCCTGCAGTGAAAAGCTAAACCAGTTAGAAAAAATACTAGTTCATTAACTAGTATTTGCCTACCAGTTCGACAATTTCCAATTCCAATTGCCAAAGCCAAAAATAAAAGGCAATTAATTGCTTTTCTAACAGATGTCGGCTGTGGCGTCACGTGAATACTACTGGTTCTGGTTCTGAGATCGCAGGTTCGAGGACGCTTGGAGGTGGTTAAGATGTTTAAAGTGAATTCAATGGTAAGGAAAAATAATTATTTCAATTTAATTATCAATAACAAATTTGAAAATCTAATTGCATTGCGGAAAAAACGTACATATTGGAAAAAATGCTTGTGTCATAAAAAAATTAAAAAAAAAATATTTTGTTAAAGTTAAATTTAAAAATTACAATACAAACCCTAAATAGAAAAAATAATAAAATAAAATAAAAAAATAAAACAAGAGAATTTTCCCTGCGCCAGCACTTGAACCCGCGACCTGAGGCATAACCCGCGAGTGCTTTGCTCTGTTGGCCATTGCGACTGTTGGAGCGCCGCTAACAAAAGGCATACTTATGCTTTTCACGGGGGATGAATTGAATATGATGCTACTAGTATTTCTACTCGTAGATGCTGATGCATAGCCTGACAATTAACATCTCGTAGGACATCGCCATCTTAAAAATACCAGTCGGTAACATTGAAACTTGATAGAACGTGAACTAGTTGGGCTCAAACGCAAACCGGTAGAATTCTTGTAGCTTTCCCTGTAGGGCATGTATATTCGCATACACTTTCCCCAATTTCCTCATATAGCGACATGCTGCGCTTTTAATTTGCTGTCGCTTCGCCTTATTTATTAGGTTATTATGTTGTCAAATGCCCGCCAACGCCGCCAATGCCGCCAACGCAAAGCCATACGGATTTGCTAAACATTAACGATTCGAATCTAATTTGTTTATTTTGCTATATAAACACAATGAGCGCAAGCTAAAAAATAAAAACTGAATCAATAAAATTAAAAATTTGAAATTTCTAAAATATTTTGGCACACAAAATTTATATTTAAGTGATTTACGTGGCACCGAAATCGCGTAAATCTATTTACAGAAAATCCAAAGAAATCTGTGTTGGGGTAAACCACCTGAAAACAGCTGGAAATCGAAATGGCTTATACCCAGAAAAAAAAAACATAAATTTTAAAGTAATTCTATTTGTTTATGTAATATTGTTTGTTTCTATACGATAATATTTATGCATCTCACCTGTACTAATCAGCAATCCATTGCCTAGCCATGGCTTGAAGAACTTATATTCCGATGACTTGTCAATGTAGACTTGACTACTCAGCAATATTTCGACGTCACGTGGATCATAAATGAAAACGACCAATTGCGGACCGATCCACATTTTTGCAATATTCTCGAATTCGGAGCTTTTGCGGATGACCGTCTTAAAGACCGCTGTAGAAAAGTGATGAAAGAAAGAAGGGGGTTAAAGAAAATAGCAAATACATACATACATACACATCTACATATGTGGGTCATTCCATGTAAAAGTGGAAAACTACATACATTTTAAAATGCCCTAATTATCTCTATTTCGGTAGTAAGCTATTTTTAAATGACTACGTTGCATTAATCTGTTGAACAATATTTAAAAAAGAATATGTAATTTTTGTCTTTGCAAACTTTTACTTCATATATAATTACTTTACACAAGTCCCAAGGACCTGCCCACCAGTCACAATTTTAAATGTTTTTTAATACTTCTATGAAGATTATATCAGCCCAATTTTTATTGGAAACGATAGCATACAGTCCTTATTTTGCACAAAGGTAAAATAGAGTGTGTCCCACCAGTCAGATTCATTTAAATGATATTTAGTTACATAGAACCAATAAATCGTTTGGTATTTCTTTAAAGGAATTTTATACATTAGTTATCGTTCTTTGTTAAAAAATGTTATTCGCTTCTGTATAACTTCAGACGACATAGTAAAAATTGACAATTAAACACACTCGCTAATAAAATAACCCACCAGTCGCAATGGAATGGCCCATCTACAACCTTTAAAATGACTTTTTTAAATAAAATTTTCTCAAATAAAATTTTGTATACTATAAACCTATTAGACTTTTTATGTAAGGTGGTCCAAAAATACAAACAGAATACAGGAACATTTTAAATCGATTAATTTTTAACAGTGCTGCCGGGGCTTTCAAGTTTTCCATATATTTTATAAATTTTTTCGTAAAACTGGTACATATTTCCCTTCAAAAATGTGCCACCAATAGAATTGTACTGCGAATTTTACCAATGTTTTTTTTTTTTTTAATGTGCCTATGTAGTTACGAACACATAAAATTATTAACTTTTGTAAATAAGAGATAAGATTACAGTATCCACCGCTTGATTGCTCTTCAAAAATTGTACAATTTTTGGTTCAATCAACCGGAGAATCAATTACAGAAATTCCGTCTAATTGAGCTTTTAAATATTTATCTATTTTTTATAATGATAATAATATAATAGTTTTAGCTAAGGAACTCTTAAGGGGGAAAACTGAAGGCATATTTTTTTCGACACCACATACTTTTAACCAATTATGCAGGGAAATTAATTTGGTTCAATTATTTGAGAAAATTTGTATGTATTCTTCATGCAATATTTTTTTTTTTTACCGACAAGGTGATTCAAATAAGCCGGAAAATCAATTACCCGGAGGTAAATTAAGTGGGGAATACTGTATTAGTTATGAAAACGTAGTTAGTAAAATTTTGCAGCTAAATTTGCATCATAGGTTTATTAATTGAAGATCTCTCTCTGAAGGGTAATATTTTTATACCATCAAAAATGTATCGCTTATAACATATTAACCGATTTAAAAATAAATATATTCGGGTGTCCTTAATTTCAATATTCTTCGTACATATGTATATATTTGAAATGCATTTTGTTAGCGAATTTTAATAAATGAGTTTGAAAACAAAGGAAAGTGAAGGTAGCCAAGTCTCTATTTTTCGAAAGCTGGACAGCGATATGGGAAATATTCTAGATAGCAAGACAAAATTAGATACGCCTCTGTGTAGCAAAAAATGTACGACCTCGACAAGAAAGCATTCTTCAACAAACCGATATATGCGAGCAGAGGAACTACATTTACCGCTCATTAAGCACCGCCGCCGAAGACGTAGTCTGATTTCAGCAAACCCGAAAGAGCAACTGGTACATTCAGGAATGTTACGAAGCTGCCGTCTACAGAGCCACGCTGAGATCGCGAAAACGGGAGCTATGTGGGAATGAAGGGCTTGGTTAGTTAAAGAGGGAAGCGATACGTATTTGTTGTAATAAAAATACAGAACCAGAAAATTTTACTAAAGTAACTCTGTACTTACGAAAGGTTTTAATAAATACCAGGGCGAACTCTTGTACTTACAACCACGGCAGCCTAGTGAGCGATATCCAGGGGGTACAGAATAGTAGCAGCACAGAAAGTAGTGCAGAAGACGGATCCGAGGCCCAGTTGATGTCCCACTGCTTGTCTATGAAGAGGTACGAAATGCAATTGCAAGGAGTTTATAAGGCGCCTGCATCAACTGTTATGCAGAATATGATCAGATGAACGCGTGCTCGACGACTGGAATTTAAGAGTGCTCTGTCCAATCCATAAGAAAGACCACTCCGCCGTTCGCGCCAACTACCGCGGGATCAGCCTTCTAAGCATAGGTTACGAGGTCTTATCGGGCGTATTGTGTGAAAACTGAAGCACACCGCCAACGAACTTCTTGGGTCCTATCAATGTGGCTTTAGACCTGGCAAATCCAGAATAGACCAGGTATTCACAATACACCAAATCTTGGAAAAGACTCGCGAGAATAGGATCGACACACACCATCTATTTGTCAACTTGCAACAGCACGAAAAGAAGTGGTCGTTATGCCACGATGTCTGAATTTGGTACCTCCTACAAACTGATACGGTTGTGTAAAATGACGTTGAGCAATACCACCAGCTCCGTCAGAATTGGCAAGGAGTTCTCCGAACATTTTGATACCAAACGAAGAATGAGGCAGGGCTACGCACAGTGCTTCCTCATATAAAATGCGGCAAAAAGTGGCAATCGTGCTTTGATTTATGCGTAGTATTTTTACTTAGGAGGTTTGCAATTGCTTACCGAGAGCCGACCGCTGTTAGTAAAAACTTTTTCCCACTTAGATTTCGCTCACACCAGGGTTCTAACCCAGGTCCTACGGGGCGGTGGTACGCACCTCTAAGCACTCAGTCACAGCGGCCGCCTAGACACAAGTATTGCATAGAAAAATTTCAGTAAAATTGGATGACGGCTGAACGCTTGGAGATTAGAGTGTTCAGAGTATCCCAGCGCTTTTAACAGATAAGTGCATTAAGTACGAAAATAACGTTTTTTTTTAAATAAAAAATTGGAAGTTCAGGAACTGTAAGAAACTCATTTTCATGTGCTCGTCGAGTACTACTCGATCCTACTAACAACCTACTCAAATTTTCGTTTCGGGTGCATGTAGTCATTTTTTTTTTGTCGCAATGTGTAATTTGCTCTTTTCTAAAATAATAGAAAATAAATTGTTCTTTTGCTACTTAATACAAAAGATTTTGTTTCAAAAACTTTTAGGAATACAGTGAAAGCTCCCATAAACGAACGCTTTCATAAGCAAAAACATTATTTTAGCAATTTTGAATCGAATTGTCGTTTAAAATACAAAACCGCGTATCGTGGTTGCTACTTAATACAAAAGATTTTGTTTCAAAAACTTTTAGGAATACAGTGAAAGCTCCCATAAACGAACGCTTTCATAAGCAAAAACATTATTTTAGCAATTTTGAATCGATTTGTCGTTTAAAATACAAAACCGCGTATCGTCGTTATTGCAAAACCTCGTAACTGACATTTGTGCCAAAAATTAGATTTACTCACGGAAAGCTCCTGGCAGTAAGCCTTATCCATTCATATTAAAATATCGATAAATAGAAATAAGGATAGAAATAATTAGAGACAAAGACTACTATGACTGAAAAATAAAATCTCCTCAAACTGTGTTCGCTTATGTGAGTTTTCACTGTATTAGTTTCGTTGAACATAAACTTACACGACGCCGGTCCGAATACGTCCAACAAATGCCCGATGATGGGCAAGCCTTTTGGTCCAGGCAATCGATCTGCCAACTTGTAGAGATGACGGCGCGATAGACGCCAATAAGTCAGCCATAGCAGGAAGGTGGGAAGCAAAAGGAAATAGAAAACGCTGCTGGGCGAAATTAGAACGTGATCTTTTAAAACTTCCAGCGACATGTTGCTGCGCGCACTTTTTGTTCTACACGATTTGGTTCTTTTTTTGAGTAGCTTATTTAACACTGTATTTTTTTTTATTTATTAAACACGCTTGAATATTTACTGCATTTCCTGGTTAATTTGTATAGTATGCATACATTTCAATGCATCGTTACACTTTTATCAAATCTTTTTCAAATCTTTTCAGACACCGTTTAATTAAGTCCTTTGGCCATTAAATAGTGCACAATTAATTATGACACATATACAAATACTTACACATACGCGCGCGCGTCTAAATTGTTTTGTATTGCATAAATCGTAGTTTATTTATCTGTATGTATGTATGTAGGCTCGGACACACATATATATGTATTTGCTTGGAATCTTACGCTTGCATGTACATATGTCTCTATGTACTTTTGCCACTTAATTAGCTCTGTTGATCATCTCCCCTCTCCACACACACATTTATTTATTTAGTACACCGTTGCTTGAATTCAGCATTCACAATCACTACGTATGCATGCATGCATGTATGTATGTATGTATGTATATAAATATGTATTTTCTAATTTTCTATTTAGTAGTTAATCCACAAGGCGAGCACTTCCTCTTCAGCTGCTACTATTGCTATTGTTGTTGCTGTTGCCGTTATTGCCATTCACAATGTCCACGATCGTCTCCAAATGCCCGTTCGCGTTCAACTGGTGGCGTCCGCCCGCATGTGGTGCGCTTTTATAGCCTCGATCGCAGCTGAGCCGCCACAAATGCAGTTGCAAAGTGAAAAATCGCAAAACTGCGTGCCACAAACAGCAATCCAATAGTTAGTTGGAGACCATCGGGGTACTCGCTGCTGCTGCACATGGGTTGAGGCGGGCTTTTGGCGTCATCAGTATCGCCCCATACAAACACGGTAGAGGTGCGTTGAGCTAAGCCGAGCTGAGTGTCAGCTGAGCTAAGTCTAGTGCTGAAGGCGGCCGACCTTTCCTCAATTGTTGCGGAGCGCTTGCACGATTTCCTAAACAAAATGAGAAGAGTGTAGATAAATCAAAATTGTTGCCCACATTTAGGATTTGCATTGCTCACGAAATTTACCTTTGTTGGAAAATGAGCGCAGCTGAGTGAAAGCGAGAGTGAGGTTTTAGTGCTCAAATAAACTCTTTCCACAACGCAACTTGGTGAGAGTAGATTGCAGAAAGTAAAAGTATCTAATGTTTATATTGCAAAAATCGTTGTTTGTGGAATGTTTCTTACTTTGAAATGCACTAAAATTTTTCAAGTCTGCTTTATTTTGCACTTAGGAATGACGGCTCTTGTGGGCGGAAATAGTGAATACTGTTCGATTTAGATAAAATTCGGTGTATATTTTGGTTTTAAACAGTAAAGCATAAATCGAAAAGATTGAAAAAAAATAAATAAATTGATCACCGACCTCTTTTCTGTCTTTAAAAAGACCGATTGAAATATTTCGTAACGAGCGTTACAGAACCCTTCTGGCAACAGTCTTTCAACTCGCCACGGTCTTTCGAAAGACAATAATCTTTTGTAAGACAATTGCCGATTCTGGCAACTATCTTGAAAGCTCTTTTCTGTCTTTCGAAAGGCTAATTAAAAGATCTGTTAAACGAGGATGTCTTAGCGTTATTCTGTTTGTCTTTTAGCAATAAGTTTTCTACGAATTATACAGATAATAAAATAAGTTTCTCAAAACTAAATGATATTAAAACAATAAAATCTAAAAATTAAAAGAGAATTAGACTAAGAGAGGAAAAAAAAAAATTAACAAAAGTAAAATAGGTTCCCAAAAATTAAATAAAATTCAAAAATATGTTTCTTTTTAAAATAATATAATCTATAAATTAAAAGAAAATTAGATACAAAAATTTAACAAAATAATTCTTAAAAATTAAATGATTTTTTCATCAACAATTTAAAATAAAATTAAATAATAAAAAAATGAATTAAAATAAGAAACAAATATAATTAGTTCCTAAAAATTAAATGAAAATAAAAATTTTTTTTTCTTTTTAAAACAACCTAATCTAAAATATAAAATAAAATAGTATAATCTAAGAAATAAATATGTTTTTGCTTTTAAAACAGTATAATCTAAGAATTAAAACAAAAGTTTGAAAGGGAAAGAAACAAATTAAAAATAAAGAAAAAAAATTCGCTGCCCGAAGACTAGAATCTCGGGAATTGCAGCAAGGCAGTGGATTATAAAGCATTGTTCAAC